AACCAAGGCTCGGAAAGGACACATGCTGTCCCACAAGGCCGTTTGACGAAAGACCACAAGGACATACACTATTGACCAGACTCTTACGGTTGTATCCTTCGTCATATTGAGGAATTTCATGACTGGGCCGGCACAAACAGGATAATTTCTGCATGTTTCATCATCCTTTATTCTATAAATGGAGCAGCGGTTAAAAAATCAAATAAGGATAAATGTAGAGTGTGATGTGTGCCTGCATGAATGTTAATGTGGAGTATTTCCTAACCTGGCAGAAGCGTTGATCAATGGAATCGTTGAGGTGGCAAGTTGCAGTATATCTAAGTAATAAATAGATTACACCATTTATATACCAGTAAGTTATTTTAGTTCTTGACTCTTCGATGCGTGATAGTGAGGGTAGGTAAATCTGTTATGACTCCCTCCACAACGGTAGATGTTAACACGAGAGGCTGCTGAACTACCTGGGACAATCCTTTTTACGCTTGGTCTGCGTTGCAACACGCCTTCTCTGGCTGTGAGTGCTCCGCTCAGAACAGCTGATTGCAGCGAGTTTCACCACCTTATGGTCGTGGTGACGCCGATTTCGCGAAATGTCTATTGCGAATGCCGCTCGCGGTGGGATGAGGGTCGTTCTGCGGCTTCTCTGGTGTCCGTGGGAATGCCGCGGGATCCTGGATTCCCGGGAGTTCCCCCAGAGGAAGAAGTCTGAATCATGAGGTCTTTTAGGTACCTTCTCTCCATCTCCTTCCTCTCTCCCTGGCGCGGTCACTGTGCTGAGGTGTGCGGGCGCTGCCCGGGTGTTCCCTGGCCGCTCTCCGTCCGCTCCCACGTCAGTGGCCGCCCCGAGAGAACGGCACGTCACGCCGACCTGGATCACATGGCAGCCGACCGATAATCAAATAAAACAAAAATACATGCCCCGGCTGATGAAACCCGTGTAACGTGCCAATGGTTTGTAAACGGGACTCACTTCTAAACATCTGGGTCTGAGCGCCGCGCCCGCTGTGTTAAACCCGGTGGGAATGTAGACGCGACCCTCGAACTCGGTGGTCTGGGCTGCACAGTAACTGCGACCGACGCCCTGGGGTGAACGGACGGTGTTTTAGTGGATTTGGGGACTGAATTTACTGTCTGCGCCGTCCAACCGTGTGAGGGCGACGGAACGTAACGCATGCAATGTGCATGTACGAGTATGTAAATTCATAGCTGGCGCTGACATGAAACGGCTCTTCCGAGCTGCTTAACGCTGAGTGGCGACAAAGACATGTTAATAGGGCAACCCAAGATTCGCACATGATATTCAGAATGAATGAACCTTTCCTGCAATCTGCACGCACGCCATGCAGCCCTAACTTTGAACATTGGAATACATAGTCAGTGCTTTTAAACGCCTTGATCGTTAGGAATTTTTATGTTTCACATGCTTTACGAAGGTGCTCACTTTTCATTTATGTGAACAGTTACTTATGATTGCTGCATGCCCTACCCACGAAAAATCGAAACTTAAGTCATGAACGAAGGTGTATACCTCCTGTATATGTGCAGAATCTCAGCGCCTTGGGAATTCCTCGCTCTGTGGTCAGCGTATCGCCACTGTCTAGCCATTCAGATTCGGTCCGTGGCTGATTTACTAAATCAGTGCTGCACAGCTCGTCTTTAATAGTACCCAGTTGTTTGTGTTTCACTGTCCATGGCTATAATTATACCTTTGAAGCTCAGTGGCAGCTCACTGGCCCTGGTTTACTTTCACTTTAATTTTGTTTGTTCAATGCGCTTTAAATGATTCATTCATTAACTTCGGTCATTCATTCATTGTTCAGTCGTGCTTCCAACAGAGGACTGACTTTTTCATCGCGATACTTTTCGCTAAGTCAGCCGGTGTTCTGCGGCTGTCCCACCGTGTCCCGCCCTGTCAGCCGGTGTTCTGCGGCTGTCCCACCGTGTCCCGCCCTGTCAGCCGGTGCTCTGCGGCTGTCCCGCCCTGTCAGCCGGTGCTCTGCGGCTGTCCCGCCCTGTCAGCCGGTGTTCTGCGGCTGTCCCACCGTGTCCCGCCCTGTCAGCCGGTGTTCTGCGGCTGTCCCACCGTGTCCCGCCCTGTCAGCCGCTGTTCTGCGGCTGTCCCACCGTGTCCCGCCCTGTCAGCCGGTGTTCTGCGGCTGTCCCACCGTGTCCCGCCCTGTCAGCCGGTGTTCTGCGGCTGTCCCACCGTGTCCCGCCCTGTCAGCCGGTGTTCTGCGGCTGTCCCACCGTGTCCCGCCCTGTCCGCCGGTGTTCTGCGGCTGTCCCACCGTGTCCCGCCCTGTCAGCCGGTGTTCTGCGGCTGTCCCACCGTGTCCCGCCCTGTCAGCCGCTGTTCTGCGGCTGTCCCACCGTGTCCCGCCCTGTCAGCCGGTGTTCTGCGGCTGTCCCACCGTGTCCCGCCCTGTCAGCCGGTGTTCTCCGGCTGTCCCACCGTGTCCCGCCCTGTCAGCCGGTGTTCTGCGGCTGTCCCACCGTGTCCCGCCCTGTCAGCCGGTGTTCTGCGGCTGTCCCACCGTGTCCCGCCCTGTCAGCCGGTGTTCTGCGGCTGTCCCACCGTGTCCCGCCCTGTCAGCCGGTGTTCTCCGGCTGTCCCACCGTGTCCCGCCCTGTCAGCCGGTGTTCTGCGGCTGTCCCGCCCTGTCAGCCGGTGTTCTGCGGCTGTCCCACCGTGTCCCGCCCTGTCAGCCGGTGTTCTGCGGCTGTCCCACCGTGTCCCGCCCTGTCAGCCGGTGTTCTGCGGCTGTCCCACCGTGTCCCGCCCTGTCAGCCGGTGTTCTGCGGCTGTCCCACCGTGTCCCGCCCTGTCCGCCGGTGTTCTGCGGCTGTCCCACCGTGTCCCGCCCTGTCAGCCGGTGTTCTGCGGCTGTCCCACCGTGTCCCGCCCTGTCAGCCGGTGTTCTGCGGCTGTCCCACCGTGCCCCGCCCTGTCTCTCCGGCTGTCCCACCGTGTCCCGCCCTGTAGGGGACGGTGTTCTGCGGCTGTCCCACCGTGTCCCGCCCTGTCAGCCGGTGTTCTGCGGCTGTCCCACCGTGTCCCGCCCTGTCTCTCCGGCTGTCCCACCGTGTCCCGCCCTGTCTCTCCGGCTGTCCCACCGTGTCCCGCCCTGTAGGGGACGGTGTTCTGCGGCTGTCCCACCGTGTCCCGCCCTGTCAGCCGGTGTTCTGCGGCTGTCCCACCGTGTGCCGCCCTGTCAGCCGGTGTTCTGCGGCTGTCCCACCGTGTCCCGCCCTGTCAGCCGGTGTTCTGCGGCTGTCCCACCGTGCCCCGCCCTGTCTCTCCGGCTGTCCCACCGTGTCCCGCCCTGTAGGGGACGGTGTTCTGCGGCTGTCCCACCGTGTCCCGCCCTGTCAGCCGGTGTTCTGCGGCTGTCCCACCGTGTCCCGCCCTGTCTCTCCGGCTGTCCCACCGTGTCCCGCCCTGTCAGCCGGTGTTCTGCGGCTGTCCCACCGTGTCCCGCCCTGTCAGCCGGTGTTCTGCGGCTGTCCCGCCCTGTCAGCCGGTGTTCTGCGGCTGTCCCACCGTGCCCCGCCCTGTCTCTCCGGCTGTCCCACCGTGTCCCGCCCTGTAGGGGACGGTGTTCTGCGGCTGTCCCACCGTGTCCCGCCCTGTCAGCCGGTGTTCTGCGGCTGTCCCACCGAGTCCTGCCCTTTCAGCCGGTGTTCTGCGGTTGTCCCACCGTGTCCCGCCCTGTCTCTCCGGCTGTCCCACCGTGTCCCGCCCTGTCAGCCGGTGTTCTGCGGCTGTCCCACCGTGTCAGCCGGTGTTCTGCGGCTGTCCCACCGTGTCCCGCCCTGTCAGCCGGTGTTCTGCGGCTGTCCCGCCCTGTCAGCCGGTGTTCTGCGGCTGTCCCACCGTGCCCCGCCCTGTCTCTCCGGCTGTCCCACCGTGTCCCGCCCTGTAGGGGACGGTGTTCTGCGGCTGTCCCACCGTGTCCCGCCCTGTCAGCCGGTGTTCTGCGGCTGTCCCGCCCTGTCAGCCGGTGTTCTGCGGCTGTCCCACCGTGTCCCGCCCTGTCAGCCGGTGTTCTGCGGCTGTCCCACCGTGTCCCGCCCTGTCAGCCGGTGTTCTGCGGCTGTCCCACCGTGTCCCGCCCTGTCCGCCGATGTTCTGCGGCTGTCCCACCGTGTCCCGCCCTGTCAGCCGGTGTTCTGCGGCTGTCCCACCGTGTCCCGCCCTGTCAGCCGGTGTTCTGCGGCTGTCCCACCGTGTCCCGCCCTGTCTCTCCGGCTGTCCCACCGTGTCCCGTCCTGTCTCTCCGGCTGTCCCACCGTGTCCCGCCCTGTAGGGGACGGTGTTCTGCGGCTGTCCCACCGTGTCCCGCCCTGTCAGCCGGTGTTGTGCGGCTGTCCCACCGTGTCCCGCCCTGTCAGCCGGTGTTCTGCGGCTGTCCCACCGTGTCCCGCCCTGTCAGCCGGTGTTCTCCGGCTGTCCCACCGTGTCCCGCCCTGTCAGCCGGTGTTCTGCGGCTGTCTTACCGTGTCCCGCCCTGTCTCTCCGGCTGTCCCACCGTGTCCCGCCCTGTCTCTCCGGCTGTCCCACCGTGTCCCGCCCTGTCAGCCGGTGTTCTGCGGCTGTCCCACCGTGTCCCGCCCTGTAGGGGACGGTGTTCTGCGGCTGTCCCACCGTGTCCCGCCCTGTCAGCCGGTGTTCTGCGGCTGTCCCACCGTGTCCCGCCCTGTCAGCCGGTGTTCTGCGGCTGTCCCGCCCTGTCAGCCGGTGTTCTGCGGCTGTCCCACCGTGTCCCGCCCTGGAGGGGACGGTGGAGGATGGTTGATGATCTACTCACTACTCCGTACTCACCTGGCGGAGATCGAGCCGTCGTGCCGCGGCTCTGTCAGCCGCTCAGCTCTGACCCGCCGGTCCTTGTGACTGCCGACTGTCGCCCTCGGATGAGTCAGGTCCTGTGTGACCCAATCTGTCCCTGTGTGACCCAGGCGTCCTGCGGCCGTCTGTGTGACCCAGCCCTCCCCTGCCGCAGGTGGCTGCATGTCGACAGCCAGCGCGAGGGGCGGCGACTCAGACGTCGTTGCCAGCCCGGCGCCACCGGTACGTTCAACCGCTGTGAATGGGGGCGTGCCGGCGTGTGTCCGTGGGTGCGTGGGCCGTGGGGCGGGTGCGTGTCTGCGTTCGTGCGTGTGTTGTGCTGGTGGGTGTGGGCCGTGCGGGCATGTGTGGCGTGCATTGGTTGGTGTGTGGCGTGTGCACGTGCGGGATGAGGGTGTGGACGCGTGCTATGCGTGCACTGTGATGTGTGCGTGTTGTACGTGGGTGCTGGAGTGGGATTTTGACTTTATTTCGCTCTCACTGATGTGACTTCGCGCGGTTATTGGTCGTGTGACGGTGTGCGTTGTCAGGACGAGCTTCTGAACGGTATTGATTGCGGTGACCTTAGATGGTCCAGGTGCGTTGTGTGCATGGGTTTCATTACGTTCGGAGGTGCAATGGAGTCATGGACACTGCCCATATCCCATGACAACTGCAGATGAATGCCAGCTAACTTTCGTACCGGAGCGCTGGTGCCGTCCTCCGGCCGGTGAAGGTGAAGGGCGGCGGACACGCCAAATCGCTGTCACCGGACGGAACGAGGCGGTGAGGAACAGGACACTCGTGTCGGTCAGCATAGACTGAGGGCAGTACCGGCTGTGGTGACGGCTTTGTGAATCGCTGTGACTGTGTCGTACCTTTTCTCCTCTCCTATTCTGGTATTTTGCTTGATGTATTGTGGATTGCTAGATGTCTAAATGCTGCTGAAGTGTTGTGTCATATTCATCCACCCTCAATAGCAATTAGTTTATGCTGGCAGACAGCATCGGCTTAGCGACAGAGAGCTGGCTCTCGTGAGACACGCACACAACACGGCCCATCAATTTACATCAATACTTCGTACGCTCTCAATTACAGCCTGAAAAGCAATATTATGGAGCCCGTGTGTAAATAAATACAATTATGTACAAATACAAATACCAATTTTAGAACACTGTTCTGGTCTGGACTGTTCCGGGTCTGGATATAGTTCATGTTATATCGGACGCCGTGTCTCGCGTCTGTGTTTGTGCGTTTCTGTATGTCTGTGTCTGTGCCCGGTTCCATTGCGTAGCTCCGAGCCTGTACTGTACTGTGTGTTTGTACTGTATGTCTGTGCCCGGTTCCGTTGCGTAGCTCCGAGCCTGCCACCCGTCGGCGCAGGAGCGGTCATGACAGTCCGAAACCCAATCGTTTACGTAGCACTTTGCCTAGTGCGCCCGGCCCGGCTGAAGTGGCTTGAGTAAGCAATGATGCTGCGGCCTGGCGGGCCGGTGGCCGGTGGGATTTGTTGGGACTGCGCGCCGCCGCGCCGGCGTGAACTGCATTACTGGTCCATATGGGCGGGGCGCCAGAGACTGCTCCAGTCCAGACGGCCGAAACCTCAGCGTCATCGCCGTCCGGTGCGGTCCATGTGGGGTGTGCCGTGGGTGGGAAGGTGGGGCCCGCTGTGGTATGGAGGCGAGACCCGCTGTAGTATGGAGGCGTCCCGACTCGGCCCGGACGGTTGATTGCCCATGTCGCCGGACCGTCGGGCGCTGAGCACTCGTGCGCTATCGACGTTCGGAGCGATAGGGCTGAAGCGGTGATAGACGGCGGCGGTCAGCGGCCGCCCGGCTGAGTGGACCTGTGGTGACCGGTCACGGTACCGTGTGCCGGCCGGCCGCGGCGCTGTATGTACAGTCCCGCGCCAGTGGCCGCCCGGCTGAGTGGACCTGTGGTGGCCGGCCGCGGCGCTGTGACGGCCCGCGCCCCTCAGCGGCCGCCCGGCTGAGTGGACCTGTGGTGGCCGGTCACTGCACGGGTACCGTGTGCCCGGCCGGCCGCGGCGCTGTGACGTCCCGCGCCCCTCAGTGGCCGCCCCACACTGGTCCACCGGTGCGTCGGCCGTGTTTGCTTGTTCTGGCTGTGCGTCATCCGTAATGCCCCGACTCGCTGTTACGTCAGCAGTTCAGCACTGCAGGCCTTCCGCCTTGCGATGTAACGGCGACGGGGAGCGCAGATCTCCTGTAGGGATCGTCATCGGCAGCGCTATCTCGTTTTATGGTGCTGCTTGTTTGGCATCGTTACCTGCTGTGTTCAAGTCTGGTATCGCCACCGGTCGTCGTAAGCGATGAAATAACCTCGCTGACAAAGGATTATCGGTAACTGGTAGGTCGCTGCGAATGTTGCGTTTCTGTGTTGATAATACATGAATTTAGTTTTCTTGGCTTGTCAATTGTTCTTTATAGACGTGTTGTCAAGTTACAACATAGGTCCTGGCACTTCCCAGCTACTTCCTGTTCTGACCCATTCTAACCCAACTCTCCCTCGGGTCCCCGTCCTCCGTGACGGCAGATCGGTCACAGCTCACAGCCAATGGTGGCCCGACTGCCGGGACCGGCCGGCTGCCAATAGCCGCTGCACTAACGAATTCACCCCGCGGCTTGTCTCTGAGCTGTACGACAGTGCCCGCACGGCCGACACTGATAGTAGCGGCCCAGCTGACCGGCCGGGGCGCATTAGAGACGGACGCGAATCTGTCATCAGTGCGGCTATTAATATTCACACACGCTGCCCTATTTCCCTGTTCGTGTCGCGTGGTGCCGGCTCGGGCGAGTGTTTGGGCGTGCGGCTCTGGTGGCCGCTGCCGCCTCCGGCAGACGCTCTGGGGGGCCGCTGTGTTGCGACACCGGCCGCGGGCCCTCTGGGTGGATCGGTCCGCCGCCGGTCGGCCGGTCGGCGCCGGCGGCCTGCAGCGCAGCCGATTCCAGAAACCGCCGTCACGCCGCCGACTCCGCCGCGCCGACTCGAGGGCGGATTCCGGCGGACGGAATTCTCGCGCCCCGCCCGCCGGCCGTCCCCCGCCGGCTCTGTCTATAATGGGCGCGGCTTATATTTGGTCGCCGCTGTGCCGTACCGAATAGATCACATCCGGCCCTGCGTGGATTCGAGCGCCGACTGCTCGTCGGCGCGCGTCCCGGCCGCCCCTGGGCGGGGCTGTTCTGTCAGCGGGCCGCGGCCGCGAGCTGTCGCCGCTGCTCCGGTCCGCGGCGACTGACCTGCGCGGACTCCCCGTCTGTGCGGCTCCTGTCCGCATTTCATTGCTGCCGCCCGCGATGAAGCATGTCGGCAGGGCGACAGGTTAGCGCGGCCGCTGACCTTGTACAAACGGCCGTTGCATCATCCGACGACAGGTCCTGGGCCGATAGCCGGCTTATGACGTCTGTTGTCGGCCGCATGGCCACATTTACCGCTGCCGGAAATCAGTCACACCGAAAACAGAGCCGGCGGCGGCGGCGGCGGCGGCCCGACACGGCGTATTGTCACCGCCCGAGGTGTGGCCGGGCACGGGGCAGGGGCGCCGCGGTACGGCGGTCACCCGGGACGCCGGGATGCATTGCCGGTGGTCTTTGTGCCAAGGAAAACTCGGCCGGACGGCAGACGGCGCGCGGCCCTCGGCGCGGCGGTGTGAGTCTGCCGGTCTGTCAGTGAGCTGCGACTGTTGTGTCTGGGAGGTACGGGGGTCTGCCGGCCTGTGTCTAGTGGTCTGTGGTAGCCGGACGGTGCGGGAGGCCCGGCTATTCCCAGTGTTTTGAGGTTCGATATTCTGGTTCTTTTGGTTCTAGTGGTGCGTGTGTTGTTTTTCCGTTTCTGTCTGCTTGTCCGTCTTGAGATCCGGTAGTCTGGTTCTGTCTGCCAGTTTGTGTCCAGTTGTGAGCCCTGGTAGTTCTTTTGTCCGGTGGTCTGTGTCGGGCGCTGTGAGGCCCCGTGTCGCCGTTATATATCGCGGTTTGTCGATGCTGCAGCGGTCTGTATGTCTGTCGATGGTGCAGCTCTGTGATCTATCTGACAGAAGTCCTGTTTGGTGTTCTCGCGGTGGCCTTGGTAAGCCTGTCGCCGCCTCTGACGCTGGCTCGTTGCTGTCCCCCAGCCGCTCTGCGCCTTACGCCGGCTGATTGTCGTGCTCCTGACGCTCTGCTCTGCTCGTCCCTGACCCCCGGTGACCCCTGTCGCGCTGCTCTATATACTGACCCCCGGTGACCCCTGTCGCGCTGTTCTATACTGACCCCCGGTGACCCGTGTAGTGCTGCTGTGCTCTGATCCCGGTGACCCCTGTCGCGCTGCTCTATACTGACCCCCGGTGACCCGTGTCGCGCTGCTCTATATACTGACCCCCGCCGACCCGTGTAGTGCTGCTGTGTGCTGACCCCCGGTGACCCGTGTGCCGGCAGGGGAGTCTCGCGATGGCCGCCCCGGGCCAGTTCCTGATCCAGCGGGTGGTGCGGATGGCGGTGGACGTGTTCCGATCCACGCCGCAGGGCACGGCCGCCTTCCGCGAGGGACTGTCGCAGCTCACCCAGCTGGTGCACCAGCTGACACCGCAGGACGTGGCCTTCGACCCCAACTGGGTGCGCGACCGGCGGCCCTTCACGCAGGACCGCAACATCATGCCGATGACGTACGTGCGCCTGTGTGAGAACGAGTACATCAGCATCGGCATCTTCATCCTGAAGAACGGCTTCACGCTGCCGATGCACGACCACCCGAACATGCACGGCGTGCTGAAGGTGCTGCACGGCCAGCTGCAGATGCAGTCGTTCACGCCGCGCCGCGCGCCCCAGAGCGGCATCCTCAACGGCGGCGACTCGGCGGCGGCCACCGCCCAGTGGGACGTGCGCCAGACGCGGCTGGGCACCATCTACCACACGGCCAAGGAGCTGCCGCGCTTCATGGGCCCGGCCGACGGGCCGGCGCTGCTCACGCCAGAGCAGGGCAACATCCACCAGATCTGCGCCGTGGACGGGCCCGTGGCCTTCCTGGACATCCTGGCGCCGCCCTATGACGAGCACGAGCACATTTACCACACGTTCCGCGAGCTGGACCCGGTGCGACTGCACCAGCTGACCAACGGCGAGCTCAGCTCCGAGGGCTGGCTAATCCGCGTGCGCGACAACCCGTTCCCCTCTGACTCGGCCAAGTACCGCGGACCGCGTGTGGACGATATCGGCTGAGAGCCGGCCGCCGGCGGACGCTGCGCCGGGACCGCCGCCGCGCGGGACGGCCCGGTGACGGCGGCGGCCGCGGCCAGCGGCCTCAGTGGTGTATGGTGGTGCTAACAGCGGGTGGCGCACAGTGTGACGGCGAGGGAACGGCGGCCACGCGACCGACGGCCCGCCTCCGGGCTTCCAGTGTAGCGGGCGGCCAGCGGGCCTGGTGCGTGAACCTGCCACTGCCGCGCAGCAGCGACTTGAGGGAGGGACCGAGCGGCGGCGCCGGCGGCGCCCAGTGATCCGCCGGGCCGGTTCCAGCCGGGCGCTGCCAGAGAGTGAACGCGTGCGAACGAGTGATAGTGAGTGCGTGCGGAGTGAGAGTGAGAGTGAGAGTGAGAGTGAGCCGCGGGGGCGGACGGCGGGGACCGGGACCACGCCGCGGTCCCCCACTCAGCCATGATGAGGTTTTCTTATGTCATGGCGTGATATGAATTAATCCGAATGTTGTCTTTTAGTGACGCCTTAGGGTGGTGAGTTCTAATGTTAGCTCACTCTCTGCCGGCGGCGCGGACGGCCGCGCTCTCGGTGGAGGGTTGCTGCGGCCGCGGGAACGGCGCCGGTGGGCCGCGCGGACCGCAGGGAGCTCTGTCTCCGGCGAACTCACAGAGAGCTCACCCGGAGAGCAGTGCGAGTGCGCGCGTGTGTCGGGGAGTGCGGAGTGACTGAGGGGGGGGGGGGCGCCGGCCGGTCGGGCGGGCGCAGCCGACAGTGGACGCAGGGAGTGGCGGCGGACGGCAGGGGGCCGCCGCTGGCCGCCAGCGAGTGGCACGGCTCAACACCCCCAGTTGTTCGTCTAGTCACCCGAGCCGCTCGCACTCACACAGCTACACTCACTCACTCACACATACCCACACCCACACCCACACCCACACCCACACCCACACCTACACCCACACCCACACCTACACCCACAGACAGAATCACGTCGCAAACACAAATACAGTCGTACACAGCGACACATGACACCTGTACAGCGCATACAACACCACACCACCACAATTTGTGCATGCTTGAACATGCACTTTTTATGCCCACAGTTTTAGACCTGTTCCGTAATCAGTGCCCACCAAACGAGACACTGACACACAACATTCACGCACACGAACACAGAACACACGTACAAGAACACCAAATTGCACACGTCCACGTGTCGCGGCCCGGCCTCTCCTGAGCCGGCTGGTAGTGGACGCCCTGGTGCGCCGGGCGGCGCGGTCTCCTATAGCGGCCTGCGCACTGACCCGCGCGCAGACCTGGGGAGCGGGCGGGCGGCCGGCGCGCCCCGGACCGACCTGGTGCAGCAAGTGCATCTTCCTATGCTTGGCCGCTTTGTATGAAATACAGTTACACATGACATTGGCCCACGGTTGTCTGTGTGTCTGCGGCGACTGTATGTCTATCGGAGGCGCGGAGCCCCCGTTCTGCTGGCCGACAGAAGGGAAAAGCTGGGCCCGTGGGAGTTTGGCAGGGTGATGTAATGCACACCGGTGACCTTGGGGAACTGGACGGGCGTCGCGCCGGTTTGGGAAGGCGGCATTGTTGACGAGCGGTGCGAGCCGTGTGTCGCTGGTGGCCGCGGTGTCTCTGCGGCCGACCCGACGGACAGCGGGGGGTCGGCCTCCTCCCCGACAGACGGCGATAAGGGCCGCCCGATGGATATGGGGCCTGTCGGTCGGGTCGGGTGCCGAACACTGCACCGGACGGAGGCGAGCCGCCGGGGCAACGGGACTCTCCCGGCCATCGCTGAGGCTTTTTTTGAACATGAGTCCGAATTGTACCGACCACAAACGGAAATTTAACCAGATGACATGCATGCCTGGCGACTATTGTAGCTACACTCAATGTGATTTTGGGTTAATCAGAAGTAACTGTTGAAAAACAGCATTGATTTGTGCCTGTAATTGTGTTGCAACGATATCGCCAGCTTTTCACAAAAGCATTAGTGACATTCTTGGCATTTCTGTTGGAATTGAACCTTTTGAATTTGTGGCCTTTTGGGTATAGTTGTATAGCGAATTCCCGAAAGCGGTCATGCTGTTGTGGCCGTTAACCTCTGGTAATGGATGGCCAGCCCCGGTTTGCGAGCTCCCCGCTGAGGCGGTCCAGAGGGCTGCGTTCGGCCCGCTCGCCCTCCCTCCCGGTCCGGAGCTCCGGTTCAGGTGAGACCCCTGAACCGCGGCGGGCTCGGCCCTCCACGCTGCGGAGGAGTTCCGACCTTGAAATGGCCCAAGACGCCGTGAAACATCCAAGTCATCCGACGCTGCAAGCTGGGATGATGCACGATTTGGACTTTGTTCGAGTGGCTGGAGTTTACACCGCGCGGCCAGACGGTGAATCTCTGCTTGGTTCGTCCGCCGCCAGGTGGCAGGGTGGTTCCGTACCCTGACCGACGCCTCGCCGCCGTCGGAGGTTCACGGCACTCCACGGACTCGCTAAGCGGATCTCCGCTAGGCGCTAATGACACTGATGAGACTTTGCGAGAGGGCGTACTTGACTACTTACTCCCTCACAACTCCCTTCGTTATCAGCCGACAATGAAATCAGGCGCCACGGCCAGTTTACCTCCAGAGGACATACATTATAACAGGGACGTGTCTAGACTATGGGCAGTGGGCACTCTCGAGCAATACCACCGGCAGCCTGGTCTCCTCAGACCATCTGGAGGGGAGGGGGGGGGCACCGTGAGTCGTTTTTTGCGATCCCACCGACCGCGGGCCGCCGGGGAAGCTTTGCGAGGAGTTAGCATAAACACTAAACAGGGCAGCGGCGTGGCATGCGACCTTGACCGTGCCCGGCCACCACCGGCAGATGATGCAACGTGTTCTTTGGCAGCCGCAGCGCCGCCGGCCGCCGGGTCGGGAAGTGAAATTTGGACATATATTAGGGTTTTAGCCCGGGAGGTCGGTGGGTAGCGGCATCAGCGGTCTGACAGACCCGTCATAGCTTTATCCCTGGCCGACAGCTGAGACTCGGAGTGGGCTGAATAGGAAGTGTGTCTTTTACGCGTCTAATGGGAAGGGGATGGAGGGGGGACACCGAATGAAACTACGGCTATCCTGTAGTCAGAACTCATGCTAACAGGGCACTGTTCGCAGATGAAGTGGGACACAAAATCGTAAAGTAAGCCAAGACGAATGGTAGGTATGCCTATAACTGTCGAGTCACCGTCATTAGGTAATCGCTAGGCTAGGCATCAAACCAGCCTGAAAAAGGTGCACAATAATTTCCATTCCAAAATTTTTGCATTCGTCAGCATATCTGTGCTAACGGCCTCAGCCGTTACAAGATCTGAAAGGAAACGGAGCCAGTGGGATTCGAACCTCCTCTCGGATGGAGCGCGCAGGTAACCTACAGATAAAAACAAAACTAACGTTTTCAGGTAGTTGTTCCACTAGGAACTGATAAAATTGATTCCATTGATATTTGGTAAGTACCAGATTTTCCGGATGATAATTTATTCACAAAAGGCCCAGCCCCGCCCGCCGGGACCGGTGCGACCATCGCACGAACGGGATTTATGCGCTTCCAGTCACCGGATGGACGAGGCCGGACCGGCAGGACTGGCGCGGGCGAACCAAACGAGGGGACGGCGCAGGAGCGAATGGACGGAGCGGCCCAGCCCGACCTTGACCTATAGAGAGGGTACGCGACCGGCCCAAACACTAACAGGGGTCGGGGAGGGAGGCCGCTGAGCTGCCACCCTTCGTTTTAGCCCTCCACAGCTGGTGTGGAGGGCCACTCCACAGCTCCAGTCTATTGTTGACATTTATAGGTACTTCTCTTCGCGATCGTTTGAATGAGCCAGAACAGATCTCCTGACCGGCCGCCATTTTTCCGTGGCAGACGAAAAGACATATCTATTTTCTCAAGTTATTCTTTTTATCCCAATATCTTTACGCTTTTTAAATGCTGGATATTTTATGTCACAACCGTTCGGAAGTTTATTTAATTGTTCTCATCCTTCCATTAAGTGGTTATCGCACATATTCTCTGTCAATTTTAATGCCTGGAAGATGTTTTATCTCAGATGGGAGGCGCGGGGCAAAGTGGACGGGGCAGAGTGAACAGTTTCTTATTCCATAAACTGTTTCCACTTGGACAACAAATGTCATTATTGAAATGCATCGTTACGCGTTAATCTCGACCCGACCGCTTTTCGGTTACAAAGTTACCCAAATAATGCAAATCAATGTTTTTTCATGAATTTTCTTGCATTTTTCACCAACAGGTGAACGATGGCAAAATTAACATCCATCCTCTCTTAAAGGGACCCTCCCACCTTCAAAAAAGTTAATGAACTGGCATAAAAGTGATGTAGCGTGAATCACAAAGAGCGAAAATGAACATCTACCAAATTTTACCGGAAAATGTTCACCCGTTTTCGAGATATAAGACTTTTATTTTTGTTTACTTTTTGGGAACTCCGCTGTTTCTATGACGTCACGTAAAGGTTTTCTTTACGTCGGCATTTGGAAGCAATAGTTTGGTATCAAAGTGCGACAAATATTGCGCGAATGATGCGTTTATCTTATCAAGGTCAATATATGATGGCCAATAAAGGATTCCAGGACAATCTTCTTATGGCATTTCTTCGTATCGCAATTCTTCGTCTGCAAATCTTCGTCAGGGCATTTATTCGTATCCCATTACTTTGTCTCGCATCAGGGTATATGAAAATCGGCTCGCATTTCTTCTTCAACGCAAATACCTATATGCAAAAGTAAGCATTGAGGGACAAATAAATGCACCGACGAAGATTTGTAGACGAAGAAATGCGGACGAAAAATTGTGCTACGAAGAAATGTCATGCGAGGATTCGTTCGGGTACCATGACATTTATGTGATTTCAAAGTCAAGGTTCACAGCTGATCTGCTAAATCAAGCCAAGAATCCAAACTATCAAAAAACTATAAATATTTGTTTGTCTGTCACAGAGGTCTCAAGCAATATAAGGTTGACATATGTTGAATCAAAAATCTACTGCCACAACTCACATCTCCTGCCTTAGTTTATCATTGTTGTTTAAACTTTCTTTCAAGAGAAACAGAAGCCAGTAGATGATATCACTTCAGATGATTGTTTCAAGATCTGAGTTCAAATGGAAATAAAAGCAAGATCAAGATGAAACAGGGATTATTGCTGTTAAAGTAGTTTGGCCATGATACAACAAGCACATAAATCATTAGCCAAATCAAATACTGGTTGGTTTGTCAAGATGTTTGTTGTCTGTCGTCTGTCGAGCTGCTATGAACACTGAACGCTCTCACTCTTACTTTAAAGATAGTAGTTTAAGTTGAATGGTAGTGAGCTGTAATTAGACAGAGCAGCTATTCAGTGCTCACATCAAGCCAGGCTAGGAAATGGCATCAACTGTGGTGGGAGGAAGCAGGTTCGGCAGCCCTATGTTGTAAACTTCTGTTGTGTCTTGTGTTTGATCAACTTATGTTTTCTGCTCTGTTTTGTGCAGTGATAGTAGCAGGTAACTGCATGCTTGTCAAATTATGTGAATAAACGAATTCATAACATTGCATTTTTCTCTCCATGCAAGGAACAAGTAAGATGTTGTAGAAAATGTAATAGAGGGCTGCATTGCTGATTTTGCACTTTATCAGAGCTTTATTAAGAATTGCTTTCCTGAAAGCTACACACAGGCCACAGCACTGAAATTCACAATGTCATAGCTTTTGGCAGAAAAAAAGAAAAGACTTACCTAGGTAAAATTGGCTGAAAGTATGGCAGAGCAGGTCTTGATGCGTATGCCCATCCATGTGCTTGCCGAAGCCGAACTGACTGCAAGTTGCAACACATTAACTCTGACCCACCATGGTGGCTGGCATATCCTGAACGTTCACCACTCTAAACAAGACAACTTTCAGCCCTCAGCATTGTATTAAAACACTGTACATGACACTCAAAATTTGTTTCAGTGCCATCCACGAACATCAGTCGCCATTCACCAGGCCAGTAAAAACAGAATAGATAATAGTTTCAAACCCATGTAGTCAGAGTTACAAGGTCTGCACCTCAAAACAAAATCCAGGTGACATTCACCACGCCAGTAAAAAACAGGTACTTAGGTAACGTAACAGCTTCAAATCTGGTAACATGTTGGTCGGACTTTACACTACCATATTTACATGGAATAATATGATACCAAACAATAGTGCAACCATTCTGGACAACAAAAGTGTATGATAAAATTAATTTAGAATACTTTGGCAGCATGTGATTTACGAGCACAGGCAGGTGTTACCTACCAGCCTTCTCAATGCTCGTAAAACCAACATTGTAGTTTTGATTTTACCTTATATGATAACACACTTGGCTGCAATGGCACATTTAATTTAATACTGTGAAAAGACCAGTTATAACCACTTCACAAGCACAATTGCACCTCATGCCGACATCCTTTTCCAAAGACAGTCAGCAGCGTCTTTCGTCAAAACTGGAAGATCAATCCCCTTTCAACTGTTAACATCAAACATATTTCTTCATGGTGTGATTTCCATATGGAAACCTTACAGGAAAAGAATTAATGTCAATTGTCAGCTCTTCAAATTTCTTTGGACTTTCACTTGCAGTACCATATCCAGTTTGCTTTGATATTTTGTTTTTTATTCCATGTTGAAGTTGAACACCAAGCTCCAGATATAGCAGGCAGCTTGATCATATTCGGCCTTGGTATAATATCAGTCCAAGTTCCAGTGGTGGGTATCTTCTAATATTCAAATTAAAATGAAAAGCAATAGGCTTTCTCATGTCAGCGCCGACGACGGATTTCACGTTGATAAAAAAGGGAGCTCAAGGTCAGCAAAACTCGGGTTCAAGGAATGGCGGGCGTTGAAATGACTGCTGACGTCATCGAAAAACCGCTAATGGTTAAGAGATAGGGACTAAGCTGGTCCCACCCTGCAAGTAAAGGGAAGAAATTTCTTGAACACCATAAACCTGCGGGGGTTGCGACCAGGATAAATGGTGGTTTCTGAGCCTGGCCGCAAACTTGGCTATCTCAACTCAAAACTAATGTTAAGGTGGGATGGTCCCTTTAAAGGGACCCTCCCACCTTCAAAAAAGTTAATGAATTGGCACGAAAGTGATGTCGCTCGGTTCAGAAAGAGCGAAAACGAATATCTACCAAATTTCATCGAAAAATATTCACCGGTTTTCAAGATATTACACTTTTACTTTTGTTTACTTTTTGGGATCTCCGCTGTTCCTAGCGACTTAATTTGAAAGTGCGGCATTTGTTGCGCGCAAAGCAGCATATACCACCGCGTGCTACCAAACGTTTTAGTAAAAGATTTAAAAATCGTTAGATCTCCGCTGACGTCACAAATTCTAAGGGGGCATACCAATGCACTAGCCCCTTAGAATCCGAAAACTGCAAGTTTGAAATTCCATATCTCCGAATTAAAGCATTTGTCGATGTTGTGAGTGCCCAAACCGGTATTTGCAGGCCATGGCCACCAATTTGGCTATCTCAACTCAAAACTAATGTTAAGGTGGGAGTGTCCCTTTAAACTTTTTTACCATCAACGACTTTATTCTTACATGAGGTAACTATCCAATCCTGTATCTCATATTGGGGCAAGAAAGTCGCCAGTGTCTGCTTTGCCCCGGGGTCTGGGGCAAAATGGCCAATATGCATTGGTCAATGGTTTAAAGTTTTGTGATTGACTTAAGAGAAAACAAGGCCCGATAGCCAACGCTTGCGACTTCTGGGTCCATAAAGGTCGCGCTATTCCATTCACGGCATTTGATAAAATTTGCCTGCAGTGATACCAGTGCTGGCAAATGCGTACTCGAGTCAACGAAACGATTCTTGGAACCGTCAATGTGCTAGATACGTGAACGTGAAGTTTCGTTTCATCTTATTAAAAATTGTAGGTAGGTCACATGTGTGCATTTACATGTAGGCCTAAGCACCGTCTTTTTGCATACCTATACGGCAAACTTTATCCGTGTATTGCATACAAGGAAGTCGTCACCAATCGGTTCCTGTAAACTGACTCGCCAATGGATCTTGTAAATTGACTCGCGTTGTGTGCAATGTTTATCTTACATCTGCTCTTGAGGCGGAGCGGACTTGCTTCATTTTAACACCTCCGGCTTCAGCGCCACACAAACACTCGAACAACCGCGGGTCCGGGAAAAACTGCCGGCTCCGGCTCTGCACCCCTTACGCTCACTTAGCTACCTGTTTGCAAGCATATACGCACGCATAGGACGCAATGGTACTTGATTAGTGATACCGAAGTAGCGAGAATCGGCTTACACGCCTCTCGAGCCGGCGGAGCCAGAGCCGACTGCAGCGAGAGCCGGCCGTATAAATCTCGGCGGCGACCGGTCAGTGCCGCAGGCTACCATCGTCGGTCACGGGGTGAGCCGACGCGACGCGACGGGGAAAAGGCTGACGGCTGACGGCGAGAGACCAGAGACGGGCGGCGGGAGACGGACGGCAGGAGACCGGAGACGGGCGGCGGGAGACGGGAGGCGGAGGAGCGGCGGCACTGATAACGGGGAGGCGGTGATCTTTTGACCGTCCTCCCTGTATTTGCGGACACCCAGATCTGTTTCGAGAGCAGCTTTGCTTCAGCTCTTCACAGTTCACATACTTCGGGAATTAAGTCTGAGTTGCAGAGACTCCTTAGAGCTGAACTGTGCCAGTGCATCGCAGCTCTCCGACTTGAGCACGCTGCCTGGTACATGCAGGTCACCGTCTCTGCCGTTTTGACCTGCTGGTGGTCAGTCTTGACGTCATACCCTTCCTCCCCTCCTGTTCCCACCGTCCTGAACTCTCACCCCTGCCACCCTGACCCTCCGTCGCCCTGACCTCTTGCCTCTCCCGCTCTGACCTGCCGTCGGCATGTTGCACGTGATCGGTCTGGTGGTGGGTCTGCTGATGGCCCTCAGCTCCTGTGTGCCCGGTCTGGCCATCGTCAGCGCGCGCTCGCTGCGCCAGCGGCCCATGTTCCAGCTGCTGCTGCTGATGGCCTGCGCCGGCCTGCTGCTGGGACTGCTGATCGCGCTGCTGGAGCTGCTGCGGCTGCTGGGCGCGCCGCTGTCGCCGCTCGGCTGCCGGCTGCTGCTGACGCTGCAGAATGCCGCCGGCGTCACCTGGAACTCGGCGCTGGCGGCCGTCAGCGTCGAGCGCTACGTGGCCGTCGAGCACGGGCTGCGCTACTTCAGCCTGCTGTCGGCGCGCCGGCTGCGGCTGCTGCACGCCGCCGTCCTGCTCAGCGGCATGCTGATGCTGCTGGCCGCCGGGCCGGACCTGGCGCGGGACGCGGCCGGAGCGTCGCGGCAGGTCATGTGCGTCTACCTGGAGTTCACGTCCGACCGCGTGGAGGCCCTGCTGCTGACGAGCGGCGTGTCCGTATCGACGGTGACGCTGCTGCTGAACGTGGTGGTGGGCGCGCGCGGCGTGCAGCAGGACCGGGCCATCCGGCGCCAGCTGCCGGCGCCGGGCGGGCGCGGGCGCGCGGCCGGCGCCGGCGGCCACCGGGCCCTGTACGCCGTACTCCGTCTGGCGGCGCTCACCACCCTGCTGCAGCTGCCGCACCAAGTGTTCACGGCCGTGCACCTGGTGACGGGCGCCGAGCTGCGCCGGGCGCGCCGCCTCGCCGGCTGGCTGCGCGTGCTGCTGTTCCTTGCCAACGGCTGGCTGTTCGGTTACTGGTGCGAGGATCTCCGGCAGCGGTACGCCGCCGCGTGGAGACGCTTGTCGGCCAGGTGGAGGAGACGCACGGCCCCGGCGGCGGCGGTCATCGCGGTCCCCTCACCGCCCCCGTCACCACAGCCGTCACCATCGCCACCACAGCCGTCACCACCGCCGCCGCTACTGCCCTCGACACTGCCTCCGCCAGTACCGCCGCCATATGCAGGGCAGTCTCCTCCCATCCTGCACCCGCCGGTGGCCGAGAGACGTAGGCCGGTGCCGCTCCATCAGGTCATCCTGCAGCCCGCGGACCTGGCTCGGCTCACCTTCAGTCGATACGCGGCCGGTGTGACCTCGGGTGTCGAGCTGACACGGGCGCATACCGCATAGATGGTCCTCTGGAGTCCAGCAGCTTACCAGGCAACTCATCTCATTATGTACGTTCAGCGATAAATGAATAAATGAATAAATAGAAAAAATAATATTGTTCTTCACAATAGTAGTGGGCATTTTGACAGGACTAAAGATTCAACCGAGTTGGAGTAGAACCCGAAACCGAATCGGGTAGAAGCCCGAACCGAAGCAATGGACCCTGAGTCGTCGGGCGCTGAAACGGCATGTGAATTCGACGCATTATTTAACTGCGCTTTGCTATGTTAGGTCAAAGACAGATAAGAACAATGTTATAAGGATTTAGACATATTACAAGCTGCGTTACTAGTGACTCCGTGACGAAATGCGATGTTTGTGTTGCAATGCTCCCGTCACATTCACCATTTAACGTTTACCGTTTATCGGACAATAAAGCTCATAATGCCCCACAAATGTATTCAAACAACCAACACGCATGGCAACTTTAGTGCACATTGGCCGGAACCACATTAGCCGTTTTCACGACGGCCATCTGGTACACATTTGGTACACATCTGGTACAGATTAGGTGCAGATTTGGTCCAATCAGGTTCAGTTCAGCGCTCTTAGCAGCTATCAGCTAGGGTTGCACTAATTGCTTATATGCCTGCTTTGTCATATTATCAGTGAGCATCATCGATTTAAACACTGAAATAAATTCATAAAATGAAGATATTTGCTGTAAAAGAAATTAGGTGCAGATTTGGTCAAATCAGATGCACTCGCAGGATAGCCTGTCGTGAAAACGGCACTACTACGAACTATCTTGTTATGCCCGTCATTTCATCTTGAGCCTGTTGGTCGAACGTGTCCCTCCGCCGCTCTTAGTAGAGGGTGCCGACACAGTTAGGGCGCCGGCGGCTGAGACCAGGGCGGTCCGGTACCGCGGGCAGGTCCTCAGTAGAAGCCGGTCGGTAGAGATCGGCTCGTTGTACCGTGTGTACCTAGGGCCTCAGTCGAAGGTGGGCGCTGTGAGGGCGCCGTCGGCCGAGACCGGCTCGGTCCGGTACCGCGGGTAGGCGCGCTCCCGGCAGTCGCCGTCGTCGTTGGAGGCGTCCAGGATAAATGTGACCTCTGTGAGACAGGAGCCGTTCCCGTCGCCGTCGAACTCTCCCGGACAGTTGGAGAGCGTGCTGCTACCGCGGGCGTACGGGTTCGAAAATCTGCGCGGAAAGGTTTAGTCGATCAATGAACATAAAGGCAAATACCTACAGCCCTTGCCTTATTGTGATCGTCCATGCCAGAGCGTTTACTAATTTTCGAGGATGTAAATCGTCTACGTCAATAGTTATCTGAACAAATAACATTGTTTGAATAAGAAGTTGGCAATGTTGCAATGAATTTTGTTTATACGTTAATCGTGAACTCTAATAGATATATCGCTAGCATGCAGTTAAAACTTTATGCTATCAATTTGAGGTCGCTAACGACTTAACAATTATTAATGAATTAATTTCAATGAGTTTGCTTTTAAACGAAATACGATTTACGTACAACGCTTTGACCATTTTCATTGTATTTTTAATGGTAAATGCTGATTAACTTCCATTGCCAGCGTCGTCGTCCAAATCGATCACAGCTGATAAAGAGCCACATCGATAAATATATATAGCTCTTTCTGTCTCCCACTGACCTGAGCAGAACGACTCCAGCCTCCGAGTCGTAGAAATACTTGGAGTTGGTCGTGTCGGCGTTCAGCTCGTCCAGGGAGCTGACGGGCGTGTAGCTGTCGGGTTTTAGCCTCAGGGTCTGGCTGGCGCCGACACAGACTCCCACCAGCTGGGTGACGTTCTGGTCCATCGCGAACACGGCCACCCGGAACCGGGCCGGCACCGTCGTGTTCATGTGCAGGATGTACGACTCGGCCGAGTTCAGGGCGTAGCTGATCTGCTGCTCGAACAGCGACACCTCCACCTCGGAGGCCATCAGGTCGTTCCGGGTCAGGAAGGTGGGTATTTTGCCGACTTCGCCCAGCCGGAGCCGGGTGAACCGGTCGGGGCAGAGCGCCGATCCGGGCCCCCAGTCGGGCACCTCCACACAGCGAGCGTTGGTCAGCAGCGGGATCGGGCGCACGAGGCTGGAGCCCGGGAAGGTGGTCAGCGAGCCGTCCCAGTCCAGCAGGACGTTGTGCCGGTTCCCGTCCCGCTCCTCGTATCCGACGACGGTGCCGTCTCCGTCATAGAACCTGGCGCCCTCCGAGGGGTCGCTGAAGTCGAACGTCACGTTCCGAACGCTGTTGATTGGCGAGGAGAAGTATGGGTTGGAGAATTTCTTGCCAATGGCACCTGCTGGGTGGAGAGCGTTCGCCTTGAACCCAGCAAACGACGTGTCCATGAGGTGAAGCGGGCCGCGGTAAAAGACAAAGCCGATCAGGGCGTACTCGGGCTCCTTCCTGGGAATGGACCGGTTCATTACGATGACCTCCCCAGATTCCAAAGTCACTTCGCCGGCCGGCTCGCCGATGTTGGCCGTTTCACCGACAATGCGAGAGTTTGCCATGACTTGGTAATACGGACCGAAATCCTCTGGGAAAGAGGACGCGATGATGATGCCCACTCCGTTCTCAGCCAGCCGGAAGTTGTTCAGAAGCGACCACACGCCCTTGATCCACGCGCCCTCTGAGTTCTTGTAAGCGGTGAAGTCGTCGAGCGTCATGAGCACCGGGTCGCTGTCGGGGTCGGTGGGATCCTCCCTCGGCTCGTAGATATCGGGCGCCACCGTCCCGTCCGGAAACAGCTCATCGTCCAGCCGGAAGCCAAAGTTGCGGTTCGAGTGTGCTACGTTGCCTCGGAACGCTTTTAGAATAGTGCGTCTCGCCTGGAGTTCAACCAGTCCCATGTCGACACTGGCGGACGGACCCGTGGGCAGGCGGGGCATCAGGATCCATATCCCGATGCCGAACGAGCCCGCGGCGTGGTTGTTGATCAGCGCGTTGTCCGGATTGGTTATCCAGAATGTTGACACCCTGCCGAAGGCATCGGTCGGGAGCAATGTGCCCGGTCTCGTCCCAAATCCAAGATTCTTTTTGAACGTATTATGTTGTTCCCCACCGTCTTCTAGGAAGTAGCAGTGGCCAAAGTGATCGAAGGCCATGTTGTTCTCCACCGTGACGTTGTGGGTGCCGTGGATGGTCAGGCAGCGAGAGAATGTGTGGTGGATTGAGTTCTTACGAATGTATACCCCCTTGGACGATGTGTCCAGACACATGTGGAAATGAATCGGGTACGACCCGATGACGGCCTGCTGTCCCATATGGAAAAACTCGGCATTTTCGATCTTGACGGTTGTGAAATCCTTCAAAACTTTGATCTGCCCTCCGAAGGTGTCCTGCTCAAACTCATCGCACAGATTGCCGCCATAGCACTCAGGCTCCATCTCTCCGTGGAATCGAACGTTTCGGGTCAGTACGCCGACCTCTGCCCTCATGTCGACCCCATCCGTGACCTCTCCCCAGTGCGTGTAGCGGACGGGACCCCGGATATTCACCTGGTACTTGCTGCAGGAGCTGCACTGCAGGACCTCGAACACCTCTGCCTGCAGGTAATCAAAGTCGGTCGACGCTATGGCGATCTGGTCGCCAGGTTTCCAGGTCCCGACGCCGTCCACCAGCTCTACGGTCTGCTCTAGAGAAGGCACGCCTCCGGCAGTGTAGGTGGCGGCCTCCACCTGGTCCTCCGCTGACCCGGAGGACTCCAGCGACACCACGGACATGCCGGCAAAGTCCACGCCGCCGACGGTGGCGTGCACCCAGCCCGTCTCCGACCGGTAGTGGACCTGCGAGCCGACCCTCTCGGTGCTATCGCTCGGCGAGCCAATGTGGCACACCGCCGCAAAGGCCACCCGCTGGCCGTCCACCATGGAGGCCATCGCCGACTCCCGGCTGCCGCCAAAGCACATGTCTTCGAAGGCATCGGCGGTGTCTGGGGAGTTACTGTCGAGCACAACATTCCTGGATAATACAACAACCACTACGCTGCCGGTGTTATCTTTGACTTTGTTGAACTTTTGCGGATTAGAGACACGGCCCCAATTTTTGACGACATTTCCGGAGCTGTCAAACTCGATCATACGGAACCCAGTTCCCGGAAAGGTGGCATCGCTGTCAGTGGCGCTGTAAATTGGATTTCCAATCACCTCGGATCGGGTCGTTTTGGGTACAGTCGCAGCTAGCTGAGTCCAGGGACGTTTAGGTTTTCCATGCACCTCCAGGACCCCCTCGCGAACCAGGACGGCCTTCTGGACACTGGCAGCGCCCTCCGTCTCGTCCCGCTGACCGGTCAGAAGAACCTCGGCCTCGCTGACGTAGGGACAGTCCTCGGAACCGATCCACAGCTCGCCGCCGGTCAGCTCTATCATGTTGGCGGTCAGCTTCAGAAATTCCACCGAGGAGTCGAACACCAGCCTCCCGCCGGTGGCGATGGTAACCGTGTCCATACTCGGCGTGCTGACGTCAAGAAGTATCGGCGTATTTACCGTAATGTCTCCTCCAGCTGGCACCTGTAAAGACGTCATTAGGGTAAGCTATGCCGGACGCGGTTATGCGGTACAATGGTACATATTCGTAGATATTACTTTACGCGTTGCTTATCGAAACAGACGTCATCAGCAGCATATCACTGCTTTCTGAAGGTAAGTGGATATCATAAATCCCAACCCTGGCCGGCCCTGGAGAGCTGCATGGACGCGTCTAAAGGTCTTATTGACCTCCGTTACCAGCATCTGCGATGCTGGGCTCCGCATCGCGGGACCGCAGGCTGTTTGAACACACTCACCCACAAACGCCGCAAAAACGCCCGCCGTAAAATGCAAAAATAAAGGTCTTATTGCCCTCCGTTATTTTATTACCTGTGGGCTGTATGCAAAAGGAGGCTTCTTTTACTCATTTCTTATCTGCGACGTTTTAAACGAACTATGTAAACGGCTTAACCCGCGCCCCACTGGGGTCTGCGTATAACACGCCCTACTGGGGGGGGGGCTATTCATAGCCCCCCCTCCTAACTCCGAAACTACTGGGCCGATCGTCAAAATTCAAACGGCGTCTGATAGCCCCGGAAAAACTGTCGAGCGAAACCTAATTTCATTGACCTCGAGGTCACCGATGACGTCACAGGTCAGGTCAAATTAAAAATTATTAGCATTTTGGCTTGATCACGTTTTGGGCTCTGGCCGCCGTCTTACAAGTCAGATCAGGCTCATTTTTGAATCACACACTCGGGAACAGATGCTCTAGTTACCCTGAGGGTACCAAACTTGTACTTTGATTTTCAGGTCAAGGTCAGGTCATCACAGGTCACGAAAATATTATATCATGCGTCGGTCACGTGACACATGTTTTATGGTCCATTTAGGTCAGAGATTTCGAATTTGATGTCGTCTGTGTCATTTGAGGTCATTTTGAGTCGAATTTAGCTTATGTTAGGTCATTTTCAGGTCAAAAAAGGTCAAATTTTGAAGTTAAAATTTTTCAACAAAAAAGGTGTCTATTGGATGCAGTTTGAGCTCAGGAACACGATGGTGCTAGTTATATTGGCGTACGATGTCAAATACGTGCTGAAAAATTGGTTTGAAAAATTAATAATTGTGAATTTTTTGCAATAATGCGTAAACCTTGGCCATTTTTGAAGATACTAAGCTAAAATTTGCTAGAGTTAGTCGTAATAATGCGTTCTATCACATATGTTCCGGTTTTTTCGAAAAGTCAAACACTTTTTGAAAAAAAATGTAAAATTATAATTTTTGGATATTATTATATCAAATTTTCAAAATTTTCAAAATTTCGAAAATCCGAGATAGCAGTTTGATAGCGCAGTCTATTCTGAGTCCTCTCATGCAAAGAAATTGGATCTAGCTTAAAAACTGAGCTCTTGGGAGTGATTGCCGTGGTTCAATGTTTTGCGTCGAAATCGGCCGAACATGACGTCACTCTGACGTCATTTCCGGCCGACCTATAGTAGGTACGAAGTTCAAATTTTGACACAAGGTGTCAAATTGATGCAGCCTAAGGTACTGAAAGTTTGGCGTCGATATGTCATACGGTTTGGAAGTTATTGCAGAAAAACGGGAGGGGGGGCTATAAATAGCCCCCCCCCCCAGTGGGGCGCGGGTTAAGGAACCAAAGGTGGTATCATCTGCTTAAAAACTTATCTCTGCAGCGGAGAACAATAAGCCACCCATTCTTACCTCAAGAAAACTCCCGCCTTTCACCTCACACAGGAGAGTAAGGACTCTCATCTCTCAACAGTTGACTCACACGAAGTGATTCATATGTTGGCTCACACGGACTCTGACTCCCTCACCTGTCGACTAGCACGGACTGACTCTCTCACCTGTCGACTCACACGGACTCTGACTCTCTCACCTGTCGACTCACACGGACTCTGACTCTCTCACCTGGTGACTCACACGAACCGACTCTCTCACCTGATGACTCGCACGGACACTAGCTCACCTGTGCGGAGTTCCACGAGTCTGCCGAGCTCCACCGTTTCAGGTCGCCGGCGGAGTCGGGACATTCCGCGCGGACATCCGCTGTGAGCGCGGCCAGCAGCGCCAGGAGCAGCGGAACTGACATGGCTGCCGTGTCACCTGCAGCGGCACCCCTGCAGCGGCTTATATGCCGGTCGGCGGCGGGGTGCGGGACCGAGTCAGACCCCTGCCTCGCGTGGAGGCTGAGTTGCAGAACGGCAGAACACTTGTGGAACGCTCTGTTGGCCGTTTGTCGCTGACTGTGATATACAGGGTGTCCGGAAAGTCCTGGCGCTTCTTTTGGACGCCGTGTAACGCGCGCTGTGATTATTGGACATTCAGCCAATCATCACAGACATGACCCCTCGTTGATTGCTCAGCCAGGGGTCGTGTAAATATGACCTTGAAATCGTTTTCAGTGATGGGTAGATGGGCGAAGATGCGCCTTGTCGCTGAATGCCTGCGCGCGGCGGCCGGGTGCGACTTGAACGAGGCGCTAGTTGCAGCGCGATGCGGCGTTTTTCGATGAATGGCTTAGCAGGTAAAGGTTTATTTCGACTCGGGAATTCCTTAAAAATATCCTCAGACCGTTTCGAACGCGATATGGGAACGGAGCAGCATTTCAACGCGGCAATCGAAGAAAGTGCGGGGGTCTGATGGACAAAAATGTCCCATCATCTTCGTCAATGTCGAATAAATGAATAACAGGCTGGCCCACGAGGGGTTCCTGGACAGCCACATCAACCCGAGGGTCAAGACGACATGCCCTAAGGGTCACTTCGCATTTCAACAGCACAGAGCACCCTCCAACAACGCCGCCGCCATTCAAGCTAAACTGACAGAGGAGCTTGCCGGGCCAGATCACCGTGGCGAAATGAGATTAGGCCGCCTTATTCTCCTAACCTGACCCGCTCGACTAAGGCGTGCTACGCGTTTTGTAGAACAGGATCTAGGCCATTTCTCACCCCAACCTGGAGTCGCTGAAGACTCGCATCATGACAGCATGGGAGGACCTGGAAATGCCCCGCATCGTCAAAACCCGCAGACGCTTCCTCCCCTACGTCGAGGCCGTCGTCGGCGCCGACGGTGGTTACATTGAATGAGCACGTAGCGGAAGCATGTGGCTTGGTGTCCCTGGTCATTGTTTTGATCCATTGATTAGTATCTATGAACCAATGGCATTTGTTTTAGAAAATGTTGAAAAGCGCCAGAACTATCCGGACACCCTGTATACGGCGTCTGGGATGACGAACAGCCCTGTGAGAGGGGCAGGCGCGAGTGTGTGCCTTTGTGCGTTTTGCAACTCTAGCACGTGTGTCATAGGCGGCGGTATGATTCGGGGCAAGGGTGGGGCACTCTGATGCCGCACCTCGTGAAGCCTTTATAAGTATGCACTTCTATATACGGCTCTATTACCTGTAAATGTGTGGTAGTATGGGGTCACAGTATTCGGATGCTTTCATCCCTTCCGTCCTCTGTGTGTTGAACGATCGCGCCAAGCAAACTGGTATCGTTCAACACACATAAGGAATACGAACCAAGAAAACTGTTGCCTGATTGGGGCTAACTGAAATACAGCAGCATGGCTTTTATATCAAAAGAAAATTACATACATAGACTTTACAAGAACAGCAAGATACCAAACCAGCAGCGTGATCATATCGATGACCACTTTAGCATAAAAACGGTATGCCTGCATCATGCTACATTTTATTTGACCTGCACACACATGTCATACGCTGGCACTGCAAAACACAGCAAAACGCAGCACGGATGATGTGCTGTTAGGTAATCCGTGGCTTATTGATGGACTGCATTCAGCAGAGTATTGCAGCTACAGGAGCGGTGTCGTATACAGAGCCATTGTTTTGGCGAGGATTAGTTGTATGCGCTGATGGTGTTAAATGAATCAGCCGCATTGGCAGAATAAGAAGCCCCGTTGGACGAGTCAACACCGTAAGACAGCGAGGGGTTGGAGCTCGACCGAGCGCCGTAGGAGGGTGCGGCGGCGTTGGAGGGGACGGAGCCGTACGAGGGAGCTGCGTTATACGACGGAGCTGCATTATACGAAGAAGCTAAGTTGCGCGATGGGACCGCGCTGTATCCAGATGCCGTGTTGGTTGCCGCCCCAGCGCCGTAGCCCTGGCCCGGGCGGTCCTTGGGGTACTGGGCCTCGCCCTCGTAGGTGACCTCGGCGTTGAAGCCGTTGTAGTGGTCGGCGACGTAGTTGACGTGCTGGATGCGGCCGTCGGGCAGCGCCACGCTGTAGCGGCCCTGGGTGCTGTGGCCGTCGCCGGCCTCCTGCTGCGCAAAGTTGGCGCCCGAGTACGGGTCGCTGACCGAGTACTCGAAGGCGTACGGGTGCTCCTGCTGGTCGTACCCCGTCTGCTTCGGCTGGACGGGCCGCTGGCTGGGGCCGGTCCGAGACGCCGCGGGAGCGGGGGAGTACGAGGCCGCGGCCACCGCCATCACCGCTGCCAGCAGGAACACCTGAGAACGCAGACAGATGCTGGAACTGAGAAGCGATGCTTACCATAATTCATTCGCGTGTTTGCGCCTCATCATACCTAAAAATCAAATGGCTGTGGTTTGCAGGGAATAGAGCATCACCGTCTCAGATATCACGAATTAATGATGTTAATGCGTAGCACTTATGTACATATATCAAACCCAAACTTCTTCCTACCTTCATCGTTGTTGGATTCAGTAGTAGGTACTGATATCCCGTGGGCCAGCAGAATGCGTTATATAGGCAGGCACACTTTCTCTTGCATCGTCGTCATGGCCTTTGAGCGGCCTGTATGAGCACCGACAAAGCAAACTCGGTCGGCAGTCACCCGTGACGAGCTGCTCTTGTTCATATCTAGTCTGTGAAAATACTTATGCAAGCTTCTCCAGCCAGCCGGGCACTCTTCGGCCATTCCCAACAGTTGCTGTTTGGAGATAACGTGCGACATTCGTCAGATGACCTGCAATGGCAGTGATATTGCCGCAAGGAACGGAAGATTATGTGATAATCAGATTCGATGTGGGTCACAGATAACAATAGGATGGTACTGCATGGTCTAGTGCTTTCAACATGATAACATCTCATTGGACACACTGTGCCTTTCTTTCATTGCAATTATAAATGCAAGTTGAATGATGCTTTTAACCTTAAAACAAAAAAATAACATAAGCAGCATATTAGTAATATTAGTGTATATTAGTGCACTTTAAAGTGCACTAAAACAATTTGAAACCACCCCTTTAACTGCGCCGTGCATGTGGTCTGAGTTTTCTCTGGTGTGCTGGGGGAGGCGTTTTCACGCTCCTCCGTCTAACTCGGCTCCTGGGCCACGTAGCCACACGCAGTAGGCGGCAATCGAAAGAGCGTGAAAAATAATGAAGAAAATAAATCCGTCATGTTTAGGTCAGGTCAAAAGTCAGCTCACCAAAGGTCATAAAAGGTCAAAATTTGTCTATTTTAACAATTTATTTTCGAAACACCGACGCATAGCTCGGGAACCAATAGAGCTACCTACACATCAACAAAATATCAATATCAAGCTGCAGCTTCAAATAGAAAATGATGGGTAGAAGAAAGATGAAATTTTGTTATACGATATAATTAAACACTCTATTGGAAACGTAGATTCAATAATTACGTGTAATTCATGAAACGTCCTCTGATTTGACTTCAGGTCAATGACTGGGCATCGAAATGAAAAAAAAACTAGAAATAGCAGTTTTACGGGGGAAAAATGTTTTTTTTTTCTCTTATTACTCTTGACTCAAGGGAGTCACGACATTACTTTTGCCAGCATCGTGTTCCCCTCGTCGAGACGCGTCGCATGAACTATCATTTGATCTTAAAAGGCCATTTTGAAAAATTGACCTCAGGTTAATGACATGACCTGACCGGAAAGGATCATACTGCATATCAGTCGGTCCTTATCGTCGAGCTGAACACATTTGCGGTGTTTTCAGCGCTCTAGCACGTCTCAAAAGTTATGGTCAAACAGTGCTTGGGACCTTGGATGATCTGAGATGACCTCAGAGGTACAAAAAGGGTTACGGGTAGGTACATTTTTCTGATTCATTCTGTCATGTTCACCTATATGCTGCTCTTTGACAGTGTTTAGAACGACATTTATGCAAAAGAGGCGCATTTCAATTTTCTTCCATCGACTTTTAACGGAGAGGTCGCAAATTGACCTGACCTTAGGGCACAGATATCGAAATTCGAAGATATATATCATATACATAGGTACTGTAACCCTTATCGATCGCTGAAAGTTTCAAAGCGATTCCTCAGTCGATGTAGCTAAGTACAGCAAACAGTGGATTTTTTTTTAGGTAAGGTCACTTGACGTGACCTGGCAGGGACGGCGCCACGGATTTCGCCTTGCGGGGGCAGGTTTTCAGAAAAAGGGCCCAAACAAGATGGGGGCCCAAACTTCCCGAAATATCGTCAATACCATCAATACTGTGCAAGCCTTTATTTGTACCCTGACCTACCATTCCCACAACTGTTGCCTTCTACACAATAACTTTTGTGTTAAAAGACACACTCTTAACCCTCGCCCGTATTGGTGTTTTTCCAGCCACGAACGTATAGGGGGCGGGAGTCCGTTGGCCCCCCCTTGCCGTTTCGCACCTGATCAAGCTAGACCTTCGCAGAAAAAAAACGAGCGTGCTGCCCGTGACGAGAGGAAGCCGATGATACCCAATTTTATGGTCCTTGGTCATCGCTAACCTTCCAGGTCAGGTCAATGATCCAAAAGTCGGGAAAATCGGGACGTGTTAGTACGTCGTAAAGGGTGGCTGCTATGAGGTTTTTCGCGGTGATGATCACGAATATCATGTTTGTTATGATCATAGATGATGTCTTCATGCATTTAGGCCAGGTCGGGTCAGGTCAGGTCAGGTCAACCAGTAAGGGTTTTGCCGGGTATTCGTAGTAGAAGGCAACCGCCTCTGACAGCTTCGTAACATGTTATGAAGGCACCACAATTACTTCGTAAATGTTCAAATGGTTGCTAAATTCGAATTCAGCTCCAAAAACTAGCCTAGATACATGTAAAACTTGAAAAAAGTGAACCGAGGTCATCAAAAGGTCAATGACCTGCCATGACCTTCCGGTGACCTTGACACCCACCCTAATGCATCTCGAATGGGCATTCGGAGACCTGTTACGCCCCATAAGCTTAGGGTGGACATTCTGAAGCCTGGTATAGGCACTTTGTGGCTTGATACGGGACTTCCGAGGTCTGTTACGGTCTATGCGGCCTGAAATTGGCCTTCTGAAGCCTTGTAGGTGCCCTCTGCGGACTGGTCTGGGCCTTCGGAAACCTTTCAGGTCCCCATTAAGTCTATTATGAAACTTCTAAGGCCTAGTAGAGGCCTCAGAGACCTGGCTTGGCCCGTTGAGACTTGATATGGTCCTCCTGAAGCCTGGTTTGGGCCCCTGAGGCCTGGTATGGGCCTTCTGGTATTCGGTAGATCCTTAGTTTGGCATGGCCATTGGAGCCTGGCAAAGGCCCTTTCTTGACTGGTAGGGACCCTAAGAGGCTTGATATGGATGGATGATATGGATCTTTTTTATACTACTAGGGGGCTTCTGAGGCCTGGTATGGATCCTCTCAGGCATGATACGGGCCCTCCCAGTTCTTGCAAGGGCCCTCTCAGTACTGCTGCAGGCCCTCATGGGCCCTCTCAGGTATGGTACGGGCCCTCCTAGTCATTGCAATAGTCCTCTCAGTACTGCTGGGGGCCCTTCCATGATTGCCATTGACATAACCCTCAGTAATATGTCAGGGTATGGGCCCTCACATAACTTGTGGTGGCCCCCTCAGTACTGTTATGGGCCCTGCTGTGGGCCCTCTCAGTACTGATATGGGCCCTGTCACGGCTGGTATGGGCCCTCTCAGGCATTTTACAGGCTCTCGCACTCCTCCCACGGGCCATCTCAGCACCGCTGCGGGCCCTGTCATGACTGGTATGGGCCCTCTCCTTCTCAGGCATAATATGGTACCTCCAAGACCTTGCCTGGGCCCTTTCATATATTGAATGGGTCCTCTCAGACGTGGCATGGGCCCTCTTTGGCCCGGGCGGGCCCTTTCTACAGCCTGGGAAGATAGGACAGGACCACAATCACCCAAGATACAAAATAAATGATTTTCTTTCACCTTTTTTGCTAAATTGGGCCCTTTTCCAAAAACATGGGCCAAAGCCCGTAAGTTTCATCTTGGCGGCGGCACCTTGAGAAGGCCCCCTTTGGCTTGATTCCCCACTCCTGAAGTCATTTCTACAGCTCTGCCCAGAAGTCTTCTTTCAGCCAGAGAGTATTCCGTCCATACCTGACCTGCTGGCTAAAAGAGGGCCCCAGTGTTCAGAGTTGGGGGGCGACTGCCCCCCCCTGCCCCCCCTGTGGCGCCGTCCCTGTGACCTGGTGACCTGACCTTGAACGACCCGGATCTGAAAATTTCACAACATGTGCGGAAAAGATGTATGAACAGGTGTCGTTTTGAGATATTCGCGAAAAATCTGAGATAGCGTGAAAATGCCCCCCCCCCCCGCCCCAACACGGCGCGGGTTAAATCGCCCCTTTGAAGCATCCTATTCTAGCTAAAATCGTGGTCAAATATGCACGATCTGTTTCCACCCAAGGCCAAATAAGTTTCCACCCTGCTCTACAGTGACATTCAGCGCTGTCGCTGCAAATTCGGATATATTGCGCCACATTGAGCACCACCGAGCCGTTAATGCCGCACCAGCTGTCGGCCAGTGGGGCGGATGCATCGATCGATACAGATATATGCACTGGGCTATCGCCGGTGCAAAACAAGGCTACTGAGCAGTAAAGTATTGGTGTGAATGTTTATATAGACTATGTCAAGTGTGTACCTATGTATTACTAAGATTGGAGCATCACAAACGTGTTTCTCGGACATTGTCCTAGCCCTTATTTTAGAAAGTCGCATAACGACATTGAGAAGATACTCTCGATACCTTTGCGCAGATACATTCACCTTAACGGACAACAACAATTAAGAATAACATGACACACGAATATCTTTTTTTATAAATTTAGTCCGAACCTTTTGATAGGAAGGATTCACAAGGACAGAGGCAGAGCCACCGCTAAGCGAAGCTTGTTGCGCCCATAAATGTCAACCGCCCGTCGCGCTTCGAACCCGGACTGTTATAACCGGGAACGCGTGCTCTCACCACGCGGAGTCCAACGCTCTACCAACTGAGCTACGGGACCGGCTCGGGATCTTTGCTCTGGACGCTCGTTTTTTCACCTGGCTGAGTAAGACCGGATTGTTTACCCTTTCTCTGAGGCTCGAATCAATTATAAATGTTCGTTGGTGTTACTCGTGTATAAGGTAGGTTCCTTTGTGTATGTACGCATGAAAGTGAAACTAGAAGCTTGACCTAGTCTTTTTCGTGCATTTATGTAGCGTTGCTGCACCCTTCCCGGTCTGATATCTTGGAAGTACATGTGTGAGATGTGACGAAACGAGCTAAGCACCGTTTGCGCACACAGCGTGACATCGTGCAAACGCAGCCACCGTCAGTGAAACGAACACCTATACATTGCCAGATCGGCGTGACTGTAGGCGTCAGTTGTGTGGTCCACAGCCTCCAAAGACAATAGCTATGAAGGTAACTATATGCTGCAAGTGATATAGACTTCAGCTGCTCGCTTTTATCGTAGTCTTAGTGAAATAGCTTACTTTGTAGTTTCCTGCACCAAGAATCATGTCAATATCCTGCAGTTATTGTGATCGCATTTGATATTCATATTGCATTACTTCGTGTATAAAATCCATCAATTTTCTATTCAGCAAGAACGTTTATTGACAAGTGACCAATCATGAAGGAGCCTGTCATTATCGTACTACCTCTCTGCGTTTCCAGGTGTTCCTGCTGGCAGCGGTGGTGGCGGTGGCCGCGGCCTCGTACTCCCCCGCTCCCGCGGCGTCTCGGACCGGCCCCAGCCAGCGGCCCGTCCAGCCGAAGCAGACGGGGTACGACCAGCAGGAGCACCCGTACGCCTTCGAGTACTCGGTCAGCGACCCGTACTCGGGCGCCAACTTTGCGCAGCAGGAGGCCGGCGACGGCCACAGCACCCAGGGCCGCTACAGCGTGGCGCTGCCCGACGGCCGCATCCAGCACGTCAACTACGTCGCCGACCACTACAACGGCTTCAACGCCGAGGTCACCTACGAGGGCGAGGCCCAGTACCCCAAGGACCGCCCGGGCCAGGGCTACGGCGCTGGGTCGGCCACCAACACAGCAGCTGGATACAATGCAGCTCCCTCATATAACTCTGTTTCTTCCGGTGGCCGCCCCGCCTCCTCCTATAATGGTGCTTCTAGTTACAACGCAGCACCTTCCTTTAACGCAGTGCCTTCGTACAGGGCTGCGTCTTCGCATAACGCAGCATCCTCCTATAACGCAGCCCCTTCCATTAACGCAGCCTCCTCGTACGGCTCCAGGCCTCTCAATGGCCCGGTTTCTTACAACGGTGCCTCTGACTTCAATGCTGCTGTGTCCGGTGCCGGTATTGTTAACGCAGCTCATTCCCTGGGCAATGTTGGCGATACTGTTTCTTCCTACACGAGCTATGCGTAACTAGCTGCTGCCGGCTGTCATGTGCTCCCGCGCTTTATCGATAATACACATGTCTCAGCAGTGAACAGCTTCGGGGCTGATGGCTTCTCAATATTGCTCCTGATTAGAGCATAAAAATGTTATTTGCTACTAGCTGAGCTGTTACATTTATACTGGCACCTCCTTCGCTAGTCGATAACATAGAAATGTTTTATTTTGGTTGTGAATACCTTACAAATCATGATCGCCGAATACAAACATCGGGAGAAATAAGCATTTGACGTCAAATAAAATTAGAAAATAATTGGCTTGTTAAGTCATGAAGTAATTAAATATACCTAATGGCTTAACCCGCGCCCCACTGGGGTCTGCGTATAACACGCCCTACTGGGGGGGGGGGGGGCTCTCCATAGCCCCCCTCCTAACTCCGAAACTACTGGGTCGATCGTCAAAATTCAAACGGCGTCTGATAGCCCTAGAAAAACTGTCTAGCGAAACCAAATTTCATTGACCTCAAGGTAACCGATGACGTCACAGGTCAGGTCAAAGTAAAAATTATTAGCATTTCGGCTTGTTCACATTTTGGGCTCTGGCCGCCGTCTTACAAGTCAGATCAGGTTCATTTTTTTGTTTACACACTCGTGAACAGATGCTCTAGATACCTTGAGGGTACCAAACTTGTACTTTGATTTTCAGGTCAGGGTCAGGTCATCACAGGTCACGGAAATATTATATCATGCGTCGGTCATGTGACACATGTTTCATGGTCCATTTAGGCCATAGATTTCGAAATTGATGTCTGTGTCATTCGAGGTCATTTTGAGTCGAATTTAGCTTATGTCAGGTCACTTTCAGGTAAAAAAGGTCAAATTTTGAAGTTTTAATTTTTCAACAAAAAAGGTGTCTATTGGATGCAGTTTGAGCTCAGGAACACGATGGTGCTATTTATATTGGTGTACGATGTCAAAAACGTACTGAAAAATTGTTTTAAAAAATTACCTAATAATTGTGAATTTTTTTTGCAATAATGCGTATAACTTGGCCATTTTTGAAGATATTTCGCTAAAACTTGCTTAAGTTAGTCATGGCCATGCGTTCTGTCACATATATTCCGGTTTTTCGAAAAGTCAAAAACTTTTTGAAAAAATATAAAAACATAAATTTTGAATATTATTTTAATTTTTTTCTCGAAATTTTCAACATTTCAAACATCCGAGATAGCAGTTTGATAGCGCAGTCAATTCTAAGTCCTTTCATGCAAAGAAATTGGATCTAGCTTAAAAACTGAGCTCTTGGGAGCGATTGCCGTGGTTCAATGTTTTGCGTCGAAATCGGCCGAACATGACATCACTCTGACGTCATTTCCGGCCGACCTATGGTAGCTACGAAGTTCAAAGTTTGACAAAAGGTGTCAAATTAATGCAGCCAAAGGTACTGAAAGTTTGGCGTCGATACGTCAAGTGTGTTGGAAGTTATTGCAGAAAAACGGGGGGGGGGGGCTATGAATAGCCCCCCCCCCCCCCCCAGTGGGGCGCGGGTTAAGATATAGGTACAGGTCTCGCAGGTTTTAACGGTAGGTTTTGCACCTAAAAAAATTAGAGTACTTCAGGCTATATCTTCGTCGTCTTAAGCTTTTAAGTGTTGAAGATGCGATCGACTTGTTGGTTCACAAGCCGGCCATGATCGTGTAAAACGGCTTCATCGTAGATCGATTAGTTTCTGAGATATAACCGGAAATGTAAAAGTGCAAAACCTACCGCTTAATCTCGCGAGAACCGTACCTCATAGGTTGTGTCCATAATATTTTATGCGTGTTGAACATGTTTGGGAATTCGGCTACATCTTACTCAAACAATATGTGATCGTTTGATATATTTCTCAAACACAGATTGTTTTATATAGATGTGACCACAACAGACGATAAACAAAGAGAGAGCAAAAGAGAGACGTCGTTGAGATCTAAGGCACTGTTCTCTTTTTAGTGGATGAATATATCACAGGTTACAATTGACACGAAACACCAGCCTAACGATACAGGAAAACACCTTATCGAATCTAACACAGCGAGTTTTAGGCTCCAGCAGGAGCACTATTCAAAGCAATGGCGCGTCTGAAAGGGCACTTGGACCGTGTAAGATGATGTATTATATCTTATGTCCAGTGCATGGTCCTAAAATTGTTCACATGTCTCTTTCTCCATGTTTAGATCTAAATATATTACGAGGATACAGCCCACAGAACAAATGTTGATTGGCCTTAGCATGGATATTGGTATTTACGAAATTCATTGATAAATGTTTTGTCTGTTTAGGTAGGTACTGAAGTAGGTACGCCACAAAGAACATTAAAGGGGTACATTGAGGTACGGCTGTCACTCGGGTAACATGTAATGTAAACGCCGGCTGTTGTCAGGCCCGTGACAAAATGAACTTATGTGTAATTCGAAAAGAGCATCTTCTAGATTGAGCTGCCGTCTTCGTCTAAGAATCTGATAGCATTTTATCCATTCCCCAGTGCTGTGCCATTACTAACGAATGCTTAAATAACAGATACATGTGCTTGCTTGTGCGACGTGCGTGTTGTTCTTCATCGCTTCCACAGAAACTGTTGCCTTAAATTTATAAACGCCTTTATATATGGCTCTTTGTTCTGCTATATGTTTTCATTTTTACTATAAAAATATAGGTAAGTGCATCTTGCACTCGAGACAAAAAACTGACGTGAGACAAAACATCTCTTTCGAGAATGCAGCAAAAAAGGCACATACACTAAAAAGTAAGAATCAGCGTATGAACATCAATCAAAATATAATATCATGTGTGTTACGTTTCTTTCAAGACACGTATCGGCCAAATAAAGTCGTGCAAAATATGCAACTTGCTTCGGCACTTGTCCTTCACTTCTAAGACAAACCACATCTGTCGTCATATAGCAGCGCTCCTTAGCCTGTAATTTGTGCGCTGATCCTTATGCACACCACTTGACCAGCAGTCAGTGTGCCCGTGATCGAATAACCTCGCTCAAAAGAGAGCTCAACTCGAAAAGCGACATTGAGCGAGAGGTCACTTTTCTCAGAGACGCCCACATCCTGTTGGCATCTGCCGGCTGGACCGGAAGGTCACCTCAGAGAGGCCGGCATCGGTCGGGTTTGGTATGATGGCGCCGGTCGCGTAGGGTATGGTCGGGACGGTTTGCAGAGGCCGGGAACGTTGCTACATGACTGTGCAGATGGAGCTGCTGGAGCCGTTGCTGGACCGGCTGCCACGGCCACTGTCATCGTCATCGCGGTCATCTGAAGAGACAGGTGGTAGAGGTTAGAATCGAGGGGCAGGGAGAGAGAGAGAGAGAGAGAGAGAGAGAGAGAGAGAGAGAGAGAGAGAGAGAGAGAGAGAGAGAGAGAGAGAGAGAGAGAGAGAGAGAGAGAGAGAGAGAGAGAGAGAGAGAGAGAGAGAGAGAGAAAGAGAAAGAGATAAAGGGAGAGATAAGAGACGAGTTTTTAGAAGCCAGTCAATAAAGTTCCAGCATTGGTTTACCTTCAGTGGAAAACATTTTGCTGTTATATCTATTTACTTGATCGGCGTTTCAATAGGATATACCGAAATGCTTCTTATTTTTCCCGATCAACACGGTTACAGAGTTCAACGCCACTATGAAAGGTGAGCCAGAATAAACAACACATAGGTACCAACTGCTTCAACGCTCGGGATCATAGGTAGTTTGTTTATTGATTTTTCGATCAAAGCATTCGGATCGTCAGGACGTTCTGCTTGTTCGAATTCTCATATTCTTAGGAGGTAATGTAACACTTACTTAGCAGATTTGCAACGATAGGTGCGTGCTTACCGCCTTACCGGAGTTATTTTTTATGTGCCGTTTCTGCCGCAACATGTGGGTGAAAGCGACTGAAATACGATTATCTACGTGCGAGAGGGTGCGAGACGGGAGGTGTTGTTCCAATCCACGAAGTGTTGTTGGTACTAGGTGCATCAATTAAGCACGGCACATCTATGCGAGGGAGCAGTATTTACCTATTTACCTTCGAGATCCCGGATGCACTTATCCACCTGGGCGGAGGTCTGGGCGTCCAGCGCTCGCTTCATCAGCTCCACGGGCACACGGTGGCGGGCCATCTTGTCGGCATGCTGCAGCAGCTTACGGACGCCGTCCTGAGGGTCACGCCAGTCACACGGGGTCACACGGGGTCACACGGGTCGGGTCACATGGGGACACACGAGTCAGTCAAGGTAGACTAGTCTATCTCCTTCAATGTAGGTATGCAGTTTGAATGACAACTAACAAATTTTCAGAATAAAATACCGTGGATATTTCCCCCGTGGTTATACATATGTCAAAGCGCAGAATAAGTTTGCTGGCTTTATAGTGAATTGATCATTGTCAGGTAGATATTGTGCAGACAAAACAGTTGCGCATTATTGGCCGCCGAGCGTTCAGTGCATTGCGGCACAGTCTAGCACTTCAGTGTGTCCTGCGGCACAGTCTATCTATCGCTGTGTACGACCAAGGATGACGCTCAGTTTCGCACGGATAGGCGATAGCCAGCTGATTATCTGGGTAGAATTCGAGGCTCAGTAGCCGATGGAAGATGTTTCTGATGTAACAGGTAACAAAAATAAATTAAAAATAGCCCTGCTTCTCCTAACTTCAACAACAAATGAATTGAAAACATTTGCTTTATCATCTGCGGTAACGGTTAAGTACCTACCTAATATACCTAGCATTCGCATACAACTTTACGCATTTTGTCTTTATAAACGGCGTGGTAGGCTTGCAGCCTGCCGCATTGTTAGACTGCCGCAGCACACGTTGTCGATATGCTGAGAGAGGGCCACCGCCAGCCCAGCTGTGCAGCTGTGTAACACGGACTCACCACGCGCTGCTGGAGGCGCGCCTGCGTCTTCTTCATTAGCAGCAGCTCGACGATGATGGACTGCTTCTGGGGGTCCACCACCCGGCCGTTCATCTGGAAACCGTTCATCAGGTTCGCCGTCCTACCGCAACGGAACGTGAGCGGCGTCAGAGGGGAAAAATAACGATTAACAATCATATTTCCGTGATCAATATCGGCTGCGTTATACATTGCGCACTTGCATGACCATATGAATTATCTTCTTTATTTTTAAAAACAGAGTCAACAATTAGGCATTTAAAGGGACCCTCCCACCTTCAAAAAAGTTAATGAATTGGCATGAAAGTGACGTCCCTTGGTTCAGAAAGAGCGAAAACGAATATCTACCAAATTTCACCGAAAAATATTCACTGGTTTTGTAGCACGCTACATCTTGAACATTTAACGTAGTATCTTTTCGGCACGGCTCGGTACGGCAGTCCCCCCCCCCCTCGCAGTCCGGTCACAGGCCTAGCCCTCCATTCACACACCCGTCGCTGCTACCGGGTGACGCACAGCTGAGCGGAGCGCTGCTGCTGCGCTCTCCTCCCCTCTCATTATTCACTACCCCCCCCCCCCCGTCACCAGGCCCGCCATCCCCATTCAGCACTTTTCCCCAACTCCCTCAACGAGCACTGTCCGTGAGAATAGCCCGCAGTAGACACATCTGCGAGAAGACGATGCCGGCCACATCAGTACGAACCGCCGAGGCACAGCTGAGTCAACAAGCTACGTCAGAACTGCGGCCGGCGGCGGCGGCGAGCGAGCACGTTAAGGTACTCTGTCACTTGTCACGTACTCTGTCAGGTACCACAACAGCTGCGCCGCGCTGAGTCCCACGGTGGGAATGGCACAACCAGAAGATCCTACGGCAAGCAAAAACGCTGTAGTTCCAGAGGTCTTCGCAATGGGCAGCCGTTAAACTCTCATTACGACGCTCGCCTATGGAGACAGCTACCGCAGGATGAGCGATCCGAGCCTCCTCAAATAACGCTGGATCAGTAAGATATGTCAACAGATCATGGAGCAGTGTCAAGGATGGATGCCGGCTGGAGCACACAGCCTCCTTTGTCGGGCACAGCAACCCAGGGTGAGTGAACCTGGCAAAACAGCCGGGTGACCGACCTCACAATGGCCTCATGAGGTAGTTCCAGAGATCTCCGCAGAGGAAGAAGGCGCTGCGTTACGGCCACGCCCCGGCACGGTGGGCGGAGCAAGAGTGACGTCACAGGGGCGTTGGCGGCAGACGAAACGGAAGGAAACAAAAGTTTGAATAAAATTAAATTGAAAAATCAAAATTAAAACTCGAAGATAACAAACATCTCAGGGATTGTTTTATGCCAGCGACTACTAAGATGATAAAGCACTCAACACGAAGACAATTCGACGGCCAAAAATTGCAGGCACAGAGGAGTAAGGTGACTAAACAGGATAGAGGGCGCCATCTTACGGACCCACCCACCAGAGGAAGGCAGAGGAAGATGACGGCGCAAGGGCGTGGCAGTCACCCCCTCCCCCCAACTATAAAAGGATGCGCCACCCAACCAGGAGAGTCACAGTCGGGCAGCCGAGAGTCAAAGTCGAGCAGCCGAGAGTCACAGTCTGCAGCCGGAGCCGGAGACGACATCTGGAGGCCGCCGTCAGTCCGGGGTCACCCACGAAAAGCCTCTTCAGTTCGATCGACCAGAACCGAGGACAGCAGCCGACGCTTGTGACCACACCGGAAGCGGAAGCACAGAGGAACTCCAGAATGTGAGTGTTGTTGAAAAGTCTGCTCAATCCCAATCCTTGACCCCCCCCCTCTGCCCAGCCTGCCGTGCCGTGACGACTGCCAAACATTTTCGGTTGCCATAAAATGCGCTCTCAATTGGAATTGGAAAACTTAAATTACTTTGAACTTATTGGTCCAGACACCCTAGTAGCATATTAGGATCTGAATTTCGAGGTCATGTCAGGGTCGCCAGCAACTCGTTATCGTCCGTTGGAATTCACGATTAGGCCGTGAGCGAAATCCTAAAATTTGAATAAACAGCTCATTGTCACGAACGTTGAGATTGATGACATGATGCGTGTCAGCATTGAATAACGAATATGTCTTTGTGTTTGGCCAAGCTGGTTCGTTCGATTTATTATCGGCGGTAGTCAGGTGCGATTAAGATTTGAGGTTGGAAGTTTGTGAAATTAAGGGTTTAGATTCGTGCTGTACTCACTAAAATTTGCATTGCGAAATCATTGGTAATATTGCTGTAGGAATTAATTGCGAAGTCGAAATCAGTTATAGAACAGGTAAATACGGTTGAAAAGGAATGTAATGTTTTAAGGTGACGACTGATTCATGCAATCGATCTATGAATATGGCTATGAGTTATGATTTTCGACAGATACGAATGCTTGAGCTTACGGCGGAATTTCTTCTGTTACATAGGTGCAGAGTTGAGAGTAGTGGTTTGAGGTCGACGGTTTTGACACTTTGCGACTTTAGATGGTCCTTGTACTTTGCGTCATTGAAATTGCGAAATGTCGAGTAAGAGGTAGATGTAGAATTGTTTGTGGTTAGAACTAATATGCGACTAATATAGGTACCGATCGTTGTGCTTTTGTAGAATAAATACTAGAAAAGACTATCTTTGTTGGGAAAGATTAAATGGGACAGGAATTTAATTAAAAAAAAAAAACTTACGTGGAATGGAGCTGATGAGATATCGAACAGGGAGATATTGCAGCGATATTTTACCAGATTCACACTCACTGACACATCCGGTGAATCTACCCGGCCAGAAGAGACAACACGCACGAGCACTGTACCGCGACTGTTGGCGCGCCCATAGCGGCGTGGCTGACTGACGGTGTCGACGCGGCGCCCGCCGGCGGCCGTGGTAATCGTCGTTCCCGACGCGGGGTTGAGCCGCCAGAGGGCGCGAGGAGCAGCCACAACAGGGGCAGTGGGTTAGCCGTAATTGGGGCGCGTGCGGTAGGTGAAGGTCACGTATAGGAGCCTGGTTAGTTGCGGAAGGTTGCAACGGGATAAGAACGTAGACAGTTAAATATGACATGCTATATGATATTTAGGACTGCACTTCGTTTCATGTGCATTGTTTACTGCTAATAGGATGATTTAAATTATATTTTCTATGAAAAGCTAGGGACCCCTATGACAATATTCTGGCACTCTATAAAGATAATTTGTATAGGTAACTAGTAGCCCATCAGAAGCTATCGAACGAGTTTCAAGGAGTCATTTCCGTTGAGCATTCAGTAATTCACTATGATACGGTGGATCACAACCAGACGACAGATAGGTGCGTACTAATTGGTTCTAGATCATCTGATTAAATCAAGAGCGGTTCAAGGTCTGCTAGGAGTGTATACGAGAACTAGTGATTAGGTTCATGCGTGCAGCAGCAATTAGGACTTGAGATTACGATTAGGTTGAATAAATAATGCTTTTCTGTTATTCGCGTTCTTGCGAGTTAGCGCCAATAATTACTCCACCAATATTGGCACAGGGCATTGTGAGGCACAGACGGCTTGTTTGCCCGCCTCCTATGGCGTAACGTTTACCAGCATGACCGTATGAGACACAGATGCACTTCTCTAAACCCACGTCCAGACCGGAATAATAAGAGGGACACACCGTCACGTACGCAGGGCATATGCACGTTTTCCGCCAGTGGTACCGGCCACTGTTAATTTTCCCGCTTAGGTAACACTGGGTGAGAAGGCAGTGAGAGGTTTCTACGGCAGGGGGAAGGGGGAAGATTGGCACAGTATGCAGTGGAGAGTAAGTTATGCCAAAGGCAAGAAGCCGAAGGTCAGGGGTGAGTCACCCAAAGGGCGGATAAAGCGAGCCGTAGTGTCCCGAATAAGTCCTCATACTTATTTCGTAAAGGTACTCTAATCGGTACTGGACAGCCTCAGGGGAGGGAAGAATGTACTCCAGGACACGTAAGGCCTTGAAGAGTAAATCCCATGGTTTAAGGATAGTTCCAGGATATGAACTGTGGTCCCTGGGTCGTGAACGGGAATGTTACACGCGGACCGGAAGAGGGCATAGGTAATCTCTCCCGGTAGAGAGATAAGTCGGATATAAATCGTGTATGTGTGTACCATAAGTCTATCGGACGTGTAGTGAATCCCATAAATTAGTAGGGTGGATATTTGTGCAATTATTCTGGACGGCCCTGCGATAAATATCTTTGTCGCCGGTTAGCGGAGCATGCATATGGATTTCGGAAAGAGACATTTATCTCGCCGGGGAGATCGTTGTTGATCCGACGCCTAACACTATCGGAGGGAATTTCGAGGGCTACGAATTAAATTTGGGTGAATACATGAAAGGTGAATGTAACGCGAACAAGGGTGTGAGAATGGTGAAGGGTGAATCTTAGAATAAGGCCGATAGGAATTGCGTAGAATTCGGTTACGGCAGTCGAGCTAGCAACCCTCGAGGGCAACTTAACTATAGCAACGCTAATACGAATTAAGTGGGCAATTTTCGTAATGGGGAGGCCAGTGGTATAGGAATGGGTGACTGGACGAATGATCACATTCAATTAATCAATGTAATTACCACCCGTAAGTTTGGCAGTGGTCATCGGGACTTCGAATGCCCTGTCCTTCACCTGCCCAACTGTGCCGCAAACCCAGCTGATCGGATCCCTCTATCCCTAATCCGAGCAGTGAAGAAGCATCTCGTGCATCATGGTCTATACAATGAACAGAATCATCAAGCCTCTAAAACAGAAGCATCTTCCATCAGATGTATTTGTATGCAAGGTGGATCTATACCTACATCTCTCCCAGGTGGACGTCATCTCGAGATCTCTATCTGGAAATCTACATCTATCTCAGGATCTCATCACTATCTGGATCTCTCTCTAGATCTATCTCGGGATCTCTTCAACGACTCCCAAGCTCCTCTGTATCACCAGCTCTACTATCGAGTCATCCCAGCAGCGAATTCCCTCTTCTACTACAACCAGCCGAACGACAGCGGACTGCGGTGGTTGATGAACCGCAACGATGCAGCAGTGTTTACCACGCCTTCCCTTAATTTCCCTTGCTACAAAATGGCGCCCAAAACGTGGGGATTTGATAATTCTC